TACATAGGTCTACACAGCTATACAGGCCTATACAGGGCTATACACAGCTATATCCATCAAATCGAATTTGTATTCTGAGACTGACGATTTGATCAAAGAACTTGAATGAGACTCGACAGGGAAGGAGTTCCCTTAGAAATGATGATAGTGGACGACTGTTGTCATGTAAGAAATCTATAAGAACGCATCTTTCCAGGAGCAAAATTTAAATTGGACTTGTTTCATGCATGTTCGAGGATAGTACAGACTATTTCATAAAAAACTTAAGGAAGTTACGGCAAGCAGTTTTCCACTGGACTGTTTCTTATTTTAGGTCGAAATGGAGGCCTTGGTACAGAAAGGACAATGAGTATGCGTGGCTCAGATGAGATCAAACCTAGAACGGTTATTGTTTTCTTGGAAGGATCGTTTGCCTAAGGAAATTCTCCATCAACTAGAATGCCTTCGCAAACACATACAAAAAGGGTGTCTTTCGGACATACCTCCTGAATGTGGAACAGCAAAGAAAGAACGTTTACACCGACATATTAATAGATCGCTCCTCTGTGGTGTCTCTAAGATTGGACAAGAACTCGCGATAGCTGTAATGTGTTGTGCATTGTTTGCCTGGAATTTGCAGTGCAAACGACAAATTAAAAGATTGACCTCGAGAGCTAAGCCTGTTATGCCACTTGAAATAATTAGACAACATGTGGAAACCTGGTCGAAAACCATTGTATTAATTCTTGACATGGTGTCATCGTTTCAGAAGTTTCAAGCGAGAATTACGGTGACGAGCAAACGACGCAAACAAGATGCACTTTCGGAAAAAACAAGAGAAATAAGTCCGATATTTTCTGTCTTTCTGTTAAATGCCCAGCCACAAAATGAACCACTCTCGTACCTGCTTGAGCGGATGTTTTAATTTCAAAAATCCATACAATTCCAATGGATGTAGTGGTGATAAAAAAGAGTCTGAAGAGAGGCTGTAGGTGCGGAGTCGGACGAAAGAGCAAAGGGGCCGGTGAACCAAATGCAAGTCGCAAGTCGTGTTGAGACGGTCTCCGCAAGTTGAAGTGTCCGTGTGTAGCGGGTAGCGTAGGATGCACCGAGGTTTGCGGATGCTTCGATTGTAGGAACATCGTTCAAGCTCGAGCTGACCCAAGAAAAACCCCTAAACGAAAGAAGCGAAAGAGGGTGACCGTCTCTCCATATAAAAGGAAAAAGGGGTCCAAGCTCATGAAAGGTCAAATTGCGGAGGAGAATTGTGGACCCTGCCAGAGAGAAACATTGAAACCCTTTGTCTGATGGTTTGCCGGGACGTGTTGCAAAGTCAGGGACTTTCCCTAAATTCTAAAACTGCATGATTTTTATGAGTCTCCTGCTGTTACGGACATGTCTCTAAACATAGCTACGAAGTTTACAGCCCAAATAGCGGCTAAAATAACGCACCTAAGAGGAATTGATCCACACTCTATCAATCTACAGAGAAATTATTAAGAAGATAAAGCTTTGGGTCAATATTGAGTGATTACATAGATTTTGTTGGACTATTTTTGTTCTTTTGTAACTTGCTATTAGAACCAAAGGTACGCGCTGCGCATTTCATCTTTATGTTGTAAAAGATATAACTAATCGTATGCGAACTCGTTCATGTTGGATTGCTTCAGAACAACAACAACTTGTTGCATGTCAGTGAATTGACCACAATAGTTTTCTGAGTTAATCGTATATCAATGATAGTTCTGCATTCCCTCATTGACGGCATTCTCTCTTTTACTTGTTGTAAAAGTGTGTTATCAAAGAAATAAACACGCGAAAAAAGGCAATTTGCGCGTAAAAGAAAGATGTAATGACTGGAAAGAACAGGTTATCCGCTACAGGATGACTTAAGAAGAGAGTCTGCATTTGCTTTAATTACTGTCGTTTGAACTGACAAGTAAGTAGTGGATAACCTTTTTTCGTCTGGCTCTGCAGGTTTTCTATGATCGCTTGAGCACTTAATTGGTATTTACAGCCTATTCCAGAATAAGAATTCAATACTTTTTGTTTTAAGGAAAATCCATTTTACGGCATTTTAATACTTATTTAATAACAATCTGATCCTTGAATAAGGTCTAACAATATAATATTTTTATAGTAACGCCATTTCAATTCAACGCCCACAGAAATTAAGGTGTTAACCTCTTTAGTTTATTCTTACTCTAGAACACACAACTGCGCACAGGGTCCAGGATCCTGGCCGGACCAACACTCAGGGTCTTAAAATAACTGAGGAGAATGTGCTACCTCTCTATAATATCAAGAAATGGATAGATATTCTATTCTTCTCGGATAAGGACGAATAAATGGAGGTCCCGTCTCCTGCAGGGTTAGGGGTAGGAGACGTTACTTTCCCACGCACGAGATCATTGAGTGATGGATGTCCTCCCCTGGGGTGGGATGGGT